CTGCCCCCAAGGGATTGGTTTATTTGGATTAAATGACTCATGTAGGCTTGTGGATCAGCTTTATTTTCTTTAGTGAACCAAAGGATGCTGTTTGATTTGCAAAATGAAAGGGAATGCTTCAAGTATCCTTTTACATTTTTGAAATCAAAGGATTGATTGAAACACTTACAGAGGGACAGGAAAGGCAAGTGCCATGACTACATTGCAAAGATAACTGTTCTGTTGTGTCCTCCTGCAATGACTATAAAATGACCCTATTGATACCTGGGGCCCACAAAATGGCTGAATCACACTGTTTTCTAACAGTTCAGCTTCAGGCAATCACTCTTTTTTAACCACACTTACATGTTTGCTTTTTCCAGACATTGGAAAAAAATGATCTTGACTTCAAAACATACGAGTAGGCATTGAGGCAAAAGGGCATGTGGCTACTGTCCTTCTCCCCTACTGCCACTCTGCATAGGGATCTATTCGTCTTCTCTCTTTTCTTGCATAAACACATTTCCTCATCGCCACCACTCTTCTGCTGGCCTCTCCCTGCACTGTGTTCACTCTTACCTGATTTAATCTCTTCCATACACAGCTGATGAAAGAGTCCGTTTTTATCCAGCAGCTCTATAAATCATTAAGTAGACTTAGATTTACATATAAAACAGCATGAAAGATGGTAGGTTAAGAGGCTGTGATGAATTTGTTCTATACAAGTCATAAGGTTTCCTCTACATAAATAAAAATAAAAAAAATAGCAAAAGGTTTTGGCATTCCTAACTGATGGGTATTCAATAGAAAATTGCATAGTCATCCAGAGGTACTGGAAGTTGAGTGCAAGATGAAAGATGTTGTAGAAAATAAAATGTAATGTAAGGCTTTGTATTCGGCATGGAAAATCAGTGACAGGAAAGGGAAGAGAAAGCTTTTGGGATTTACCCTGATCTGAACCTCTCTGACTTGTATGTGACGCAGTTTGAGTAACTTTTGTTTCAGAAGACCTAATCATCAGGTCTAGCATGGGTGCAAAAGTGGAATCCATACTGGATCACCTATTTTCCTTAATGAGGACGGTATCTGACAGTTTGCTTCATACAGATAGCAGTACCTTTTCTACTACAGGTGTGGACCTCTTGTACCTTCAATAAGAAGCTGCATTTTTTTTTTCCTAAAGATAGCAGTATAAGACAAACAAATAGTTTTTATTTAAGTATCCTGAAGATACACATTGCAGTTGGTCCAGGAAGAAACATTAGCTTAAGCTGGCAAGGAACTCCCATGATGGTCTTTCAAATGATGCCCAAAAAATGGGAACTACTTATTCAAAACTCTGGACAGGATTGGCTTGTTCTCAAGTTTCTACCCAAGGTCTAGCTCCTGGAATTGTATGAAAATTTCAGAAGTCAAGCTTAAAAGCTTCTTATCGCCTACTTATTTTTGAAGTTAACCCTGGAAAGTGTGGACTGCATATACCTGATGCAGTGACGTCTACACAAAAGGACAAGAGCATTCACAGAACAGAACCACAGCAACTAGGAGGACAGAAAGATTACTCATCTCACCTCCGCCAGGACACCAAATTAACTCCCTGGGTGGCAGGAAAAGGGCAGGAGGTTGCAAAAGATGCCTGCCTCCTTGGCCTGCCTTTTTCTTCTAAGTTTGTAACCCAGGGTTTTTGGCAGGAGCATTATGGTATTTGTAGCTCCATAATAAAATTTCACACATAGCATGTCACAAATGCATAAATGAAGTTTTACTAGTGGTTTAGTTTCCTGTCCAATAATGACAGTGCAAATCTTCCCATTGTTAACATAGGTCTGATGTGAGCCGAGCACTGCATGTCTGAAATGCTGCCGTTGGTTTCCTGGAGACTGAGAGAGGTATTCATGTGCTGGTTACAGGCAGTGTGCAACCTGAAGGCTTTAATTCCATACAGACATATTTGGATATTGTTATTTTAATGTTTTAAGGAAGCGGAGCTCCTGGAAGATAAGGTGCAGTCAGTTTTTAAGTACTAGGTCGTCAGCATGGTGCAATACAGCTCATTCTGACACAGAGTTTTAAGGAAAGTCAAATGCCTCTCACATATATAGCCCATTAAAAAAAATATATCCCCTGGTGCTATGTCATTTAGCAAGAAGCACATAAAGGCTCATACCATAGAGCACATCTAGATCATCTGAGATGTGAATCCAGTTGCAGGTACCTGGAAAAACATATTCTTTCTAAAATAGTTGTTCCAAAGCCCCCAATACAACAGAAATATATGTGCCCTTTGGGTTACAGAATATGTTAGGTATTTGACCAAACAAAAACATGACGTGCAATAACACTGTCTTCTAAATGTGCTGATTGGTGGTTTTATGTCTATGTGCTTTCCATCGCCAGTGACCATTCCTTCTCCCAGGAGCCGCTGCCAGAAAATGTCATATAAGAAAAGAGGAAAAAAATGTCACCTAGCAACCAAAGCTTCATGAAGAAAAGTTCCACACTGACCCGCAGAGACAGAGTTGGCTGGAGAGTTGGGAGGAGGCATTAGCAACGGGGAAAAGGCTCCTTGTCTGCTGCTTTGGTGCTGATCTCAGCCCTGTTAGAGTAGGTGCCCTGGGCACAAAGTTTGTCTCAAAGGAAGTCTGGAGTTTCTGTCCAACTGGCCTGCATAGAACTTGGTTTGCAAAATAGGACTTCGGGTTACTTTTTCCTGACTTTCAAATACGGATTTGAAAGTGATAAAATCTCAAATCATGATGGGGATCTACATTTTAGTTTTATAATGGGAAAAAGTAAACTTGAGAGGAAAGGGCATTATCTCTTTTTATCTCCCTCATTTATCTCTTTTATCCTTTCCTACCATTAACAAAGACCAGATTAGCAGATATTTCTTTTATTATCTTGTTAAGCAGAGAGGAGCATGTCTTTTTTAAGGTCTTTGAGAAATTGAGAGATTCAGAGCTAAGATTACTTGCCCCCTCCGGGTACTGTAAGGAAGCCAGGGAACAGTAAGAGACAGGGTTGTTTATGGGCAGAAACAAAAGATCTTGGAAAACATTAATACACCTGAATTAACACAACACTGAGAAGGGTACTGTGCTTTATCTGAGCAAGGAATACAGTGTTTAAAAACAGGCTAGTGGGTTGTGGTTGAAAATTAGAGGACAATACTTCTGTCACTTCTGCTGTACAGGCTTGCACATGGTCCATTTACCTCCTGCCTGTGCTTGCCTGACAGTGTGAGTGGGTGTAATAGCATGGAGAGGATGTGAGTGGGATTGATCTGGCACACTATGCATTCGAGGCACACGCAACTGCTGCTGTTTTATTTCACCGCTACACCAACAGAAACTGCCCTTATATAGACTCTTCTGGCTAAGGTTTTTTACAGCCAGGGATACAATATACTTTATTATAATGATATTCACTTCATAAGCTGCACATTTCATTACCAGCTAAGAGTGGCTTTGCAGCATGGCATTTTTTTTTTTTTTTTGTGGTGGTGGGAAGGGAAGCTATATTTTTTTTTTGTTTTTATTATTATTTTATTTTTTTTTGCAGTCATGTTTGAGCATCTGTCAGCCCTCTTTCCCACCGCTATTTGTCTTGCTCAGCCTCTGCCTCCACGCCCTCCTCCCCAAATCCGCCGCAAACGCCGAGCGACATATCCCGGCGCGCCTTGACAACCGATCCCAGCTCTAGAACGGGCAAAAATGGTGCAGCGGAACGGGCCGGCGCCCACCTCCCGACGGGCCACGCATCCTGCCCGGCCCC